TGGATGCGGCCCCGGCAGCCGGCACCCTCCGTGCGAGCTGTGGGTTCGCAGCCACTCGTGTTTCAGCTGGGGGGAGCCGAGCATTTGGCAACGCAACATTGAGTGTTTCCCGATGGAGCTGCAGCTCCTTGGAGGGTGAGTTGGAACCTCTTCCATCACCCCGGCGCTTCTCAGGTCCCTTTTTCCAGTCCCATGCACTTAATCCGTGCCCCTCTCCGTGGGCGGCACGTTGAGAGCCTGTGGGCTTTGCTTCTCTGCTGCTGTGGAGCAGGGTGGCCGGGGGGGTGCAGGGGTGCCTGTGCTCCTGCCTGGCCCTGCCTGTCTCCGGGACAGGGCAACTCCTGCCTCCGGGTTGGGGAGCTGCTGGCAGCTTAGGGGATATTCTGGTTTATTCCAGGGGAAAAAAAAAAAAAAAAAAAGGCAAAGAAAAACACTCCCTCCCCCAGTTTTAATCCGAGATAATAATCCACTCGGGAAGCTTTAAGCCTTCAGGCAAATTACCCCAGAGGACGGCTTTGTGAATTCAGAGCAGATCCCACTTGTTTCCTCACGGCGGCAAGCCAGGAAATCATAGATTGATGAACCGCTTGACAGGCCTGCTAATGAAATTAGCAGCAGCTCCATGATTTTTTCAGTGAGCAGGACAGGCAGATGTTGGAGAGAAGCACACAGTGGCACAGCTGCCCTTGTGGGCTGCCTAAATTCCTGGCAGAGCAAACACGGGGCACAGCAGATACAGCTTTGGCTGCTGCCGATTTTACAGGTGGTTTCAGTACGTACCTTTCCCCCATAAGGCTCTCCTGGAGATGGGGAGCAGAGGGCTGCCAAAGGCTGCTCCTCAGGACTGCCATCCAGGAGGAAAAGCTGAGGGTGCCCACTGTAAGGGTCTGCTCAGCGCCCTGCAGAGACTTGCCCATGCACCACGACACATTGAACTGCTTTGTCTGTATATTATTAATCATTTCCTTCATTTAGGTCTCTCCCATAGCAAAAAATAATCCCCTATACAACAGAGGCTTTCTCAGCTGTATGTTGTGGGTGGGAGACATCAAATATGGAGCAAATATATTCACCTGCAGAGTCGTCAGACCAGGGGAAATGTGTGTGCCTCACCAGGCAGCCACCCCTTCCAATGCCATTGAACCAGGGAAGCCCCCTGACTTCTGCGGCAGATGTTTTCTGCAGATCTGCTGCTACGAAAGGGTGCATCTTCAGACCTCACCTGCCTCTACCAGAGCTGCAGGAAACAGGCTGGGATTCTCGGGTGAATCAACAATAAATGTGTTGTGTGGTACTGGGTTTCCCTCCTTCTCTCTGAGCACTGCTTCTAGGAATGAAGTAATCGTCACTGGATGATACCCAGAAAAAGCTCTCTCATCAGCCTCTGGGAAATGTAAGTACCCATTTCACAGCTGGGGGAAATGGAGAGAGCTTGCCAGGACACAACAGTGATAACTCCTGCCTCCTGGCTGCCTGCTTTTTGTTTTTCTTAAGATGTTCATGAAGAGGCCATTTTGGTGATTGTGAGGAAGCCCCAAAATAACCTCTTTTTAGGCAGTGGACAGCAGGCCTGGACACTGCAGCACAGGAGACCACCTGGCTTTGCCCCTTCTCCAGGGGTAAGTTAGGTCAGCAAGCTGCAAGCAGGGTTCATATGAGTTTGGACCACTGGATTCTGGGATTGCAGAGTGGGCCTGGCTTTGAGCCCAGGGTCTGGCACGAAGGCTGAAGCCTTGCAGCACAGCAGGCTGGTGAGAAGATCTGTTGTGGTGCATGCAGTGCCAGGGGAAAGGTGTGAAATGCAGACGTTGTGGGGATGGTTGGCTCATGGCTCACCAGGATCCCTGATGACTGCAGTTCTGGTGTGTGGTGTGGAGGGGGGGGGCGTACCGCCGC